AACGTTAAAAAAAAAAAAAGTTACTATCATTCAACTTGAAGACTTCTATGACTTCAAAGTGCAATAAACAAGATCCAACATTGAGCATGATAAACAGATAGAGTCTAAGTTTTAATTTGTGCAGTGGAAATAATAGGTCACCTCACTGGGTTGTTGTAAGAATTATAACTAAGAAATGTGCCTGTCACATACTAGACACAGAAAATCATAGTTATCATCATCCTGTTAGACACCAGAATGGCAGCACCAAGAAGAATAAAACAGCCAAGAAGTATACCCTTTATGAGTTGCTTAATCTTTTATTAATTATTGGAAAAGTATAACTATAGGGGCACCTGCCTGGCTCAGTTGGTAGAGCAGGCAACTTTTGATCTTGGGGTCATCAGTTCAAGCCCCACGTTGGGCATAGAGCTTCTTAAAAAAAAAAAAGGAAAAAAAGTACAACCATAAATCTCACAGGCAGGGAATCTGCTCATAGTAAATCATCCTATTCATCAAATATCTAGTGTCTACTGCATGCCGGGCGCAGTGCTGGACTCTGGGAAACATGGGTGAACATCTCTGTCCATCCACATGGAATTCACTGCCTCCTTCCCGCAGAGAGACAGTGAAAACAGCATATGGTTCCACTGAGAAGGAACTTGGCAGGGCGCTGTGATGTAGAGTAGGGAAGGGAGCGCCTAGAAAGGGATATGACTCTCAGGATGAGAAGTAGCCAGTTAGGATGAGAAGGTTGTCAGGGGAAGGGCATTCCAGGCCGAGACACAGAAGTTAGGGAGGGTGGTGAACAGCTCTAGTTGTCAGGAGAATGTAATGGGAAACCTTTGTAGGTTTTAAATGAGGGAGTGAATTGATGTGATTATGCTTTTTAAAAAAATGTTTAAATTCATTTTGAGAGAGAGAGAGAGAGCGAGCTCATGTATTCAGGCGGGGGAAGAGCAAAGAGAGAGCAAACCCTAAGCAGGCTCCCTGATGCCAGCTCAGAGCCCTATGTGGGGCTCCATCCCAAGAACCATGAGATCATGACCTGAGCCGAAATCAAGAGTCAGATGCTTAACCGACTGAGCCACCCAGGCACCCCAATTTGGTTTTGCCTTGAAAGACCACTCTTTGGCTGCAGTGTGGAGAATGGATTAGAGGTGGGTTGAGAGAAGCAGCAGGAAAACCAGTTAGAAGGCTTTTGTAATGATCCTGATGAAGGACGATGTTTACTTGGAATGGGGCAGACTCAGAGGGCATGCAGAAAAGTAGATTTTTTTTTTAAGTTTATTTATTTATTTATTTAGAGAGAGGGAGAGAGAACGTGCATGCGAGTGCGTGCGCACACATGCGCACAAGTGGGGGAGGGGCAGAGAGCGAGTGAGAGAGAGAACCCCAAGCAGGCTCCACACCAGCAGGGCAGAGCCTCACACAGGGCTCCAACCCCCAAACCGCAAGACCGTGACTTGAGCCAAAACCAAGAGTTGGACGCTTAACCAACTGAGCCACCGAGGCATGCTGAAAAGTAGACTTTTTGAGAAATGTGATGGAGGCAGTAATTCATTGTATGGAGGGGGTAGAGTGAGGAATCCAGAAGGACTCTGGGAAGACATGTCAAATGGGTAGATGCTGGGAGTATGTTTTCTAATAGTTAAAAATTGGAAGATGAATGAGTGAGGTTGGGTGGATGAATAGCAGGCATTAAGGATTCTGCTTAGTCTGAGATGCCTATGTGGAAGAGGGCAAGAGGGCAAGAGGGCAATTGGAGTTCATTGGAGGGCTCTGATCTTTAACCTGCAGGCTTG